GTTCTAGCTGAAAACTAAGATGCGTAGAAGTAAAGTTCTGTTTTCTTTACAGCTTTAATTTTATGAAGTTACTGTGACTTCATCAAAATTAGTAATTGGTCTTAAAGAAAGCTCGGAAGCATAGTAATCACGCATGGTGTCATCACGCATGGTCCAGTGGAGCAGCTGTTTTTATAAATAAAGTTTTATTAGAACACTCATTTGTTTACATCTATGGTGGCTTGCAAGCTGCGGTGGTACAGTTGAATAGCTCCTGCAGAGTACTCATGAGCAAAGCCAAGCCAGCAGCATGGGCGACCTGTGAGGGGCATTTTCACCAAGATGCTGACCTTGATGGATCTGGAAGCTAGAGCACAGGTCAAATAAATGAAACCCTCTCCGGCGACGGGAGTTTGCCAAGATGGGAGGTGAAAGTGGAGTGGGTTCCTGATGGGCCTTTGGTCTGTCAGGCTCTGGTCTGTCAAGGACCAGAGGGGCTTCTGCACTCCGGTGTGGGCAAAGTGGCCGTTCAGTCCCCGTGGGGGCTAAGACCCCCATAATCTCCTTCCTTCCTTCCTTCTTATCTTGGTTCCTTTTATTTTTTTTTTAAAGATTTAATTATTTATTTATATAGAGCTTGAGTAAAAGCCAGAGGTGCAGGGGCAGTGAGAGGCGTCACCAGAGACAGAGTGGGGAGCAGAACAGGCAGATGGATGAGGTGCACCGCTGAGGGGAGTGTAGACGGGTCAGGAGAGGTCTGCTGTGCCACATGGGTCACCTCCCCCGCCAGGGATTGAACTCGCACTGAAGCGGCTGCTGCTCACTTGCAGTACAGCGTCCTAACCCGTTGCACCGTTATCTTGGTTCCTTTTATTCTAACTTTAAAAGGGTCATTGATCTAAGACTTTGAATGGTTCCTCTTCATCTACAGAATGAATCAAATCAATTCCTAGGCAGAGTCACAGGCCTCATAGCTGAGCCCGGAGCTTCCTCTCCAGCTCATTTCCGGTCACTCACCACCCCGCTCCTTCCTCTGCGATTTCTGTCCTCCAGCTCTTGTCCTCCCAAGTGGGAAACGTTTCCAGAACCTCTCTGGCCAACTTGTGCTGTTTAGTGACAAGCATAAACTAAGTGAGCTTTGAGTTCCTTGTAGGAGTCAGAGGTGGTGCTGGCACGTGGCGGGAGGGCCCGGAGGAGACTCATGCTCTAACATGACCTGGGTGGTGTCTCGGTGCGTGTTTCCTTCGCTCCCAGAGAGCCTGCCAGGTTCCACCAGGACCCCGCCTGATGTGAAGCCACCTTCTGGGAGCAGCAAGGAGCCTGAACCTCCACTCCACCAGGGGTGAGACCTGGTGGGCTGGCCAAAGGCCCACAGATACCTGGGGACGGTGTAGTCAGCCAGAGGGATGCCGGGGCCCCTGGTCTTCCTCTAGGGTACCTAGGTGGAGCGCGGACTTCTGTACACACAGGTCCCCACCACGGGCGTCCCGAGGCCATGGGGTATGGCTGATGAGCTTGGGAGCCAGAGCTGAGGGGTCGATGTGATTTACAGGAGACGTCCACCGTCATCCTCACTTACCTCGTTGTCAAAAGAGATCGTATCGCAGGGGAGTGGGGCCACAAAATAGCGTGGGGCTCCCTGATCCCACTGGTGAATGCAGCGTTGACTCTAACATGAGCCCTGAGGCTAAAAGTCTACCTCAGCAGTTTTCCAGCATTTTCCCTATGACTCTGCATCTTAGAAATGGGCTAGCAAGGGCTCTTTTCTGTCTTTCAAAGACTAGGCCTGAGTTCAAATGCTTGAAAGTAAGCTCCTTCGGAGGAACGCGCCCTCCCTGCAGGCCGGCCTGCTGTGTGTGCCTGGCCCTCTCCAGCTGACCAGCCTTGGGAGCCCAGTGGCCTGACCTCATGGAGATTCACTCAGACGCGGGATGAAGCCTGGCCCTGGCTGGGAGGATGACATTTCATCCCGTGTTGGAATCACTTGAAATTCCCCTGTTCATCCACAGATACCGAAATAAAAGATGCAACTCATGGTTCTTCCTGAGGCAAGATCTTTATTGTTAGCCTTTCTTGTATTTTTTATTTTTATCTGCCCAAAATAGATGGAGCCAAGCAATATTCGTCTCACATGGATGCGGTTTCCTAGTTCACAGACCCTCACGTTGATCCAGAGATCAAATTACATTTCCACTCTGTCTTTATCTGTAGGCTGTAGAGTTCTATAGCTTTGGAACACACAGAATTTTTTTTTTTTTTTTACCACTTTCACTCTTCGTGCCAATGTGGAGTTCTTTTTGGGTTTGAAGCTTGCAGCTGAGGCAGGAAGCCAGATTATTCTGTCTAAATGCCGTGGTCTAAACACTGTTAGTAACACACGCACACACACACACAGACATCCAAACTCCACTCTTTCCCTTTCATCTCTTGGCCAACCCCTTTCTCTTCTGAGGGCTTCCTGCCCCCCTCTCTTCTCCGGAACAGAGAAGGTACTCCGTTTCTCCACCAGGAGCTGTGGACGCACAGCCATTCTAAATCCTCTGGAGAGATGCCCCCTGAATGAAAACACTCTCGCCCTCTCCTGCTTGACCGGCAGCCCCGACAGTGAGTCACCCTCGGGCTCTCATCCACAGCAGCCCGAAATAACAGCAGTGCCAGGGTTATGACTCGACACTTTCCATTTTTATTAAAACTCTCGCTTTCCTCAAACCTGTTCAAGCCCATTGTCCTCCATGTCCAGCCTCAGAGCTGGAATTGTTTGCCAGTGTTTCCCAAATCACCCTCTGAAGTCAGTGTAAGAATTTGTCAACTCTCAGGCAATTCCTTGACAGATTCAGGACAGCTGAATCTCTTTGCCTACAGAGAGGATTTTTCTGGAGCCAGTGGGAAAGAAAGAACTCTAGAAAATGAGAGGGGCGAGGGGGGGCGGAATTTACAGACACTGTTTTTACATCTGTATCAGGTTTCTCTAGGAATCCCTCAGAAAGCCTGACCATAATGTTTGTATCTAAGAAACATAGAAACAAGTGAACAAAGCCCTGAAGATGAACATCTCTTTGGCCTCCTGGGTCATCTGAACCCTCGCCTAGGATTCAGGGGGCGCAGGGGGCCCCTTCTCCAACACCCCCCATCCCCCGCCCCCCACACACATTTTAAATCACAGGTGCTGATGCTTGTTACTCTGGCACAGTGCTCCGCTCTCCCTTACTTCATCCTCTCCCAAGGAGTTACAAGGGGTGAAGTTACTGTCCTCTCTCGCTCTCCGGCTGAGTTTTTCTTAATTGACAAAGTATATTGATTGACAAAGTACATTTATCCATGTAAAGCTCTTAAAATGTTTCTGCACAGTATCTTAAAGGTCTTTATCTAGAAAGACACAACTAAAATTTCCTTTTTAAACCAAGATTTATTTTACTTAGTTATGTGCAAGGAGTTTCTGCACACTTCTTTTGCAGCATACTGCATTTCTTGAAAGAGAAGCTCACCAGCCCTGGGCCCTGTGCTCAGAGGCTTAGTGCCACCAGCCCTGGGCCCTGTGCTCAGAGGCTTAGTGCCTGCGCGACTCGCCGCTGCCCCCTGCCGGTGAGCGCCTGTCCCCTGGCGCAGCCTCTGCCTCTTCTGGTGTGCCCCTCGGCCCACCTGGTCCTTTCAGGTTGTAGTTTGTACAGCCGAGCTGGGGCCTCCCCGTGAATTCCGGAGACTTGTGTGGATGTCTGTCCCCACCCCATCTGCTGAGCATAAATGGCCTTCTTCTGCCCTCAGTGCAGTTACAATCAGTTACTCTGTTGGCTCAAGAGGTTAAGTTACAGCACTATGAAGCATCCTGCAGCCACTGGAGCAAGTCTGAGCCCCGGCTGACCCTTTGGGTCAGCTCCCTATTCTGCCTCTGGTCAACGCACTCCGCCCCCCCCACCTCTGGCCTGCACCCCAGCTCTTGTGCACATAACTAAGTAAAATAAATCATGGTTTAAAAAGGAAATTTTAGTTGTGTCTTTCTAGACAAAGACCTTTAAGATACTGTGCAGAAACATTTTAAGAGCTTTACATGGATAAACACATACTTTGTCAATCAACATACTTTGTCAATTAAGAAAAACTCAGCAGGAGACATTTAAATCAAGAAAAGCTCGAATGAAATAAACTGCCCTGTCTTGAGAGGAGGGTGCACCATTTACACCGAGATCACAACCCTGAACCAGTGGTAGCTGAATCACAACCCTGACCCAGTGGTAGCTGGGCCTGATGACTAGTATTTGCCGCCCTTTCTTCACCCTAGACAACTCCTGTTTCTCCCGAGTTCAGTGCTCTGCCATGCTCCGAGACACACCGAACTCCCTCTGCCAGCTAGTGACTGAGCGACGCCTGGCCTCTGTCCTCTCTCGCTCTCTTGAAATACATACAGATATTTCGCTGCTGTTTTATTATTATTATTATTATTATTCATATAGATACGAGTGTATGTGCACAGTCACCACAGTCCCTGTGCTCCTTCCATTTCGATACCACCTCCCGCTCCCCTCCCCTCAAGTGTCTCTGATCAAGTTGCCCACTTAATTTTAGAATTTTAATTATTCTTTCCTGATGTCTGACTTCGTTCCCCTACATTCCTCCTCTAAGTGAAACTATCCAGTATTTTCCTTTTTCCTTCTGGTTTATCTCACTGAGCATAATCCCTTTCAGCTCCATCCATGTTGCTGTGAATGGCACGTTATTTACCTTTTTCGATTGCTGAACAGTATTCCATTGTGTATATACCACTCTTAATCAGTCATCTATTTTGGGGCATTTCCATATCTTACCTATTTAAATAGTGCTGCAGTAAACATTCCATATGACCCAGCAATTCCACTTTTAGGAACTTACCCAAATGACACAAAAACATTAATTCAAAAGGACGTCTGCATCTTTGTTTATTGCATCACCTCTATTTTTAAGATATTTATTTATAAATAGGCCAGAGGTGCTGAGTGTGAATGAATATATATGCCAGAGACAGAGTGGGGAGCAGAGCAGAGGGGTCCACTGAAACACACTGCTGAGGGGAGCAGTGGGGAGACAGGAGAGGTCTGGTGTGTCCTGTGGGTCACTCCCTGGCGACGATGGATTCAACTCCGGCCCCAGTGGTTGGCAATAGTTTGATAGCGCTGACCTTAACCCCTGCACCACCAGAGGGGCCCCGTTGTGACTTTTTAACTGCACCCACAGTCCAGGAGCCTGGGCCACTGTGCGGTCAGCACACTGCTGGCTGCAGGGCTGTACAGGAGGCAGCTGCCACTGAGGCTGCACCTGCAGCCCCAGAACGTAAACCCACCCGAGCCCCCCAGTTCCAGTCAGAAGTTCGTGGGTGTAGTCTTTCCCCAGTTCCTTAAGCTGTCCCTGCTGTCTTCTTGGGCACGAACGGACAACAGATGCTGCCTTTCCACCGAACTTGAATATTCAGGTCATGTTATGGGGACTGTTTTTTCCAGTGCTGGAATAGATTCTATGAATGCACTTTCCAGCCCTCTGTGGCAGAGGGGTACAGGGACAGAGAGGCACATAGACCAGTCATGAGCAAGGCCTGGGTTCAAGCTGTGTCCCCCTTGCCAGGGGCGTGTCCTGCACTGGCCAGGGGCGTGACCTGCACACATTATCTCTGTGAGCTCGCCACTCCCTTGCCACATGAGACCACCACCACCTTCCCACGGGGCAGTGCTCTCTCCCTGCACACTGCGGAGTCCAAGAGTCATGGGAAAGTGACGACAAACCACTTGACATACTGCTTTCAAAGAAAATCAGGCCGCGGCCCGGGACACATCATGGAGATTGCTTTTTTTGGTGCGAAAATAGATCCTGTGAATACATAGGTATAGACACTCAGTGGATGTTAGAATTTTTATTATCTGAACATTGGAATTGGCTCGAGTCCATGGTTTTTAATTTACTGTTTCAGTCTTCTCAGAAGAGTCATTAGGACTAGAGTTAATCACGTATTTCTCCTGTGTGGCTGTTACATGTCTGTAAAGGTTACTGAGTGGATAGGAAAGGTTAGAGCGCTGAGGTGGAAGGTGCCCGTGACCCAGTGCCGCACGGCCTGACACACCCACCCACAGACACCCCCTAGCTAAACCTGTGTGTCCACTGCCCATGTTTCCAGTCCTATGTGGTGAAGATGCCCATGGCCTTAAAGTCTTTCAAAAACTTCAGAATGGGAAGTGGACCTCAAAGAACATGTAGACTCCAGTTGAAAAGAAAGGAAGGGGGTGGGGTGAGCGATTAGTACATTTTCTTGTCGTTAGCAATATAATGGCTCCCGCGTGCTGGGAGCCCTGACTGAGGAGAAGCAATGACGCGAAGGTCATGAATGGACCTCACTGTCCACTGTGAAAGCTCTTGGAGCACCTTTAGGCCCCACAGCTTCTTCTCAAAGAGTCCAGCATCTCTGACAACTGAGGGCTTCCCATCTGCCTCACTGGGGGGGATCTTGTGCTCCAGGAGCACCATTAATTCCTCCAGTTGGTAAGCGAAGGCGGCGACCTGGAGCAGCAGGGTGTGTATGGCCTGATGGAAGTCACCTTCCGTTGGCGTGAAGTGCACCCGCTGGTCTTCCAGCAGCAGGGCCAACATGGTGTGGAAGGTGCGGTAGGCTTGCAGGTTCTCCTGCAGCCGCTCTGCCTCGGTCAGCTCGCTCCACCGGTCAGTGCTGGCCATCGGCACACCGTCCACAGAGTCCAAGTTTATGTTCGCGTTCAGGCCCTGATGCTTCACCTGGCCAAGGATACGGAAAAGCATGATACCTCTTGCACTTACCACAGTCTCACTTGAATAACCCCCAACTGAAACATCGCCTGGTCTAGGACCCAAATTGTCAAGGGAGTAAAGAGAATGGCGCAGAAGTCTTTGAAGTAGGTGACTGGGATTCAGGGAGACCCCGCTGTCGACGGGACACACCCCGCTTTAACCATCTGCTCATCTTGGGACTTTTCGGGCTCCATTGGTTTTGAAGGCTGAGCAGCACTGCTCGGGAACCTTTATTTTCTCCCTACCTCCAACTCCCTGAAAACTAGAATATTTAAAGCATAATGGGGTTTAGGGATTTAAATATACTTGAAGACACAGTCTTGTAGAATCCCCTACATACCCTCTCTACATACCCCTACATTGCCCTCTCAAATGATGAGGACAATCCTTTAGAGAATTTTAGGAGTTAAGAAAAATTGGTACTTTGAAGGACAATTGGTACTTCTAATGAGAACTTAGGTCAAGAGAACTTCAAAACTCCACAGGGACCTGGCATGTCCTCACAGCTGGGCTTGAGTAGAGACCAACCAATTTGGAAGCACGCGAAGCAGCTGACACTTCCCGGTGACTGTTCTAGGGGACCCCCTTGATACACAGCTGCCTAGACACTGGGACACTTGACATATGTAATTGAGTAGTGGGTGGCTAATGTGGCATAGGAGATCTGGGGTGATGGTCTATGCTGCTCTGCTCCCAATCCCATACACCTCACTCTGCCTTCCACTTCCACAGCTCAACAACTGAGAACATTTGTAAAGAACCCAAATCCAGAGGGTTGGCGACGAACCTATTTGGGTAGAATTCAGGCCATGGGCAATAGAATTGGGAACTGCCTCCAAGACATACACCGAGTCGTCACTACTACTTAGAAGCCGGTATTTTATTTTTTTGAGGAATAAACCTGCTAAATGGCCTAGAGAAATTAAATTACATCCCACGTTTCCTCAAGGGAAGGAGTCAGGTCAGTCTGTGAATGGCTGTGGGTAGGGCTCCATAACTGGCTCGGGGCTGGAACATGACCCTAGAGGCCGGGTCAGAAGAGATGGAGTGAAAATAGGCAACAATGAAACAGGCGACTTACATAAGATTCCATAAGTGCAGTCAGGTCTGAACGAATCTTCCTTGCCAGCCAGATAGAGCGGCTGCAGAGGTCCCGGCGAGGAGGGCTCTGTGGAGAAGGCCCTGCGAACGCCATCCCCACCAACTCAACTGTCCCAGCAAACAAGTGAGCTGGGTTTGCTTCTGTCTACACTGGTCCAAGTAAGAAATGTGACTCTCAGACGAAATCCACTGGGCATTCTCCACTAATGGGACTGTGTACCCCACCCCCACCCCTGCCTGACTCAGAGGTGGCAGCAAATTCCTGGCTGTGGATTTTGTGCCTTGTGGAATCAAAGGCCCCTTTTTAATCGGCCTTTTTCCCCTGCAGCGTCTGCCTCCATCTCTCCTCCTCAGTGCCTAGTGTACTTGTTTTCATGTCATTGTTTGTTTCTGCACTTAGCAACAAGGTCACTATCACACTAATCCTCATGACACCCCTGCCTACTGTAAACTCAGACACACACATGTAATTGGTTCATTTTATTATCACCCTCCCTCGCCCTCCCGGTATCCTTTTCTGTTTTCAGCTGGCATTCACTAGGGTTAAGTCATTACGGATAGTGCTGCCATCTACTAAGCACCTAACCTGGGCCAGACACCTTGCTAAAGGTGTCAAGGCCTTTGAGCATGAGGATAATTCAATGAGACACAGTTTTTCCATCTGAAGCAAGAAACCAAGGCTTAAAAAATTAATAGGCACAAGATCCAGTAACCAGACTTGAAATTTAAATACAGACTTTAGATTCTGCAGCTGTTTCTCTGACTTCCAATTTCATTCTTCAGGTGGTTCAGACTTGGTTCAAGTTTATTTGAAACAATTCTTTTACAAACAGCCTCTTTACACTCCCTGTTGGCTGCGGTGGGGAAGCTGGTAAGAGCAGCATTTCTGATCTGTTATGGAGCCGCCCCTTGGAGCTGCAGCACGGGGAAGGTACTGCTTAGGCCTGTCCTCTCCCAAAGGGAACACCCGGCCTGACGTGGTAGCACTTCTCAGGCAGTCCCACTCAAGTGACAACACGCTTTCCTCAGCCCGGGCTCCTCAGGGAAATCAGACAAGGAACTGGGCTTGGGGGTGAGGGCCTGTGAGCGCCACGGCTCTGGGGGCCTGTCTCCAACTCCCATCTGTTAGCTTTCAGCACTGCACATCATAGCTGATGCTGCCAAACTGCAACGTGGCCTTCGGCCCCGCGGACTTAGCCATCAACAAAGGATGTTAGGGAGCAGCACAGGAGGCCCGGGCAGCCAGCACAGGCCGTTCCACAAGGCAGGACTGTATTTCTGTGTTAGTCCTCACTGTGGGCGCTGGGCTTTGTGAAGCAGCATGCCCACACTTCAGTGCTACCACTTTTGCCATCAGTCGCTTTACTCTTACAGCAGCCTCAACGTTTTACTCCAACAGAGCTACTTTCCTGGTTAGAAATCCGCGGGAGAGATTTCCGAGTCTAAGGGCCACACAGGACGTGGCATCTCAGCATCAGATCAAATGAAAACACAAGCGGAGTCCAAAGCCAGCACCAGATTCGGAGGAGCGCGGCGGCGGCCCAGTGGCGGCCCAGTGGCGTCGTCCTGAGCCGAGGCGCTGGGCTCTCAGCAGCACCAACCATGTCACCCCAGGACATCTGTGACTCGCTCAGTACAACCAGGAAGACCAGCTGCTTCCATGAAGACAACTTTTATTTTTCTTCTTTACATATTTATTTTGGATATGTCTTACTAGATTAAGAGAAAACAAGGATTTGAAAAGCAGAGTATCCCTTTTATTATAATTTCTTTTTACATAACCTTTTCGACCTAGATTTCAGGTAACTACCTGTCTCTCCCATCAAGGAGAAGGGTCCTGCACATTACAACAGGCAAAAAAGGTTTTTAGGAAATAAAATATCTTAAATTGATCCATTACAATTTTCAATTTTCTTGAGTACATTGAAAAGTGGGGAAAAGGAGGGAAAATGGTAACTTCAAACACCCAGACTGTAAAAACCTTAGCTAGGTTTTTAGTACACTCTATTTTTTCTCCAAACACAAAGGAGGTTCAAGTGCTCTACGAGGATGCTTTTCCGTATCTTCATTTTTTCAACTCCCAATAATCCTGACCACTTTATCTCAACACTCTGAAGCACAGTGAGTCAGTAATGCAAAATAACCCTCAGCAACTACAAAGGCGGGAACATCACATCCCCTGGGTACTTCTCTCACCTACATTTTCAAAATTTAAAGCTGCCAATTCAGGAAGGAGAACAGGCGTTGGGAAGTTAAGAGGAACAGGCTTTGCCTAAGACAGGAAACGCAGACTGAGGAGTCAAAGAGCTCCCTGGGACAGCAAGGCCCGAGCCCAGGAGCAGAGAGGTAAGGGACGACGGCTAGCCACAGGTCACACATACCCAGCCTCTGCTATGCCACATTCCTTTCCCTCACAAGGAAAAACAAAAGTCCAAGAAAATATTTTAAAATGTACTGCAAACCGCTACAGAAATTTTCAAACTGTAGGAAAGTGGACCGAAAATGTCACAAAGCAAATTGCTTGAAAAGGACAAAAAAAGAAAAACAGTTGCTTTTGGTGGGGAGAGGAGTGTGACACAGAAAGAACCTAATTCTCCCTCCATCTTTTAGTTTTTGTTTTAATGCAGTTTGCTTTTGTGTAGGTAGCGAAAGCGTCCGATGAGTGACCACCGCGAAGGATGCACGGGGCTGGGAGGTGAGGGGAGCGGGACAGAGGCCGAAGGCAGTGCGGGGTCCAGACACAGCCAGCGAGGGGGACCAAGGGCACTTCCCGGCAGACCCACGTCGTGCTAGACCCGCGACCCCCCAGTCACGGGGTCAAGTCCACGCCACACACCAGTGTCAGCCCCAAACCGAGCGTGGGCACAAAGGCACATTGGACACCGCCCAGCCCCAGTTCATTCTCCACCCCCCACCCCCGCTGGGGCGACATATTTGCAGCGCTCTGAGAAGAAACAATGGTGCTCTAAGGCGGCTCACTGTAGGTGTTTCACCCCGCGCCCGGCATCCCAACCACTGACACCAGTGGGCGGAAAGCAGGCCTCTTTCAGATGTGACATTTTGTTACTCCTCTTTTTGGGAAAAAACAAATCAGAGAGAAAATTGATAAACTTTGCAGTTTCAGTGTTTCTGAAAAACAAGCGGTCCCTTATTTTGTTCTCAGCACAACCTCATTCTTTCCTACAGTCATCCTACTTTGACAGACAGTGAAGAGGGCAGCCTTGAATTCCAGCTCTGGGACACACCGGCAGTCAGGCCTTGCCCTCGGAACTCTGGAGAAACCTCCAGAATAGGTTTTGAGCCCTCAGAGTTGTGAACACCAAAAACACGCCCCAACTCTTCCCAGTGACAGTGACAGCAACCACCCCAAGAGAACCCCTATTCTCAAGCAAAGTGGTGATCCCCAGAGCTCCAGGGGAAAGCCTAAGTCGTCCAACAAATACTACTTCAGCTACTGAGGTCTGGCCCCTCCCAAAGCATCCTTACAGGGGAAGGGCAGCTCTGCCCTGACTGGGGCTCCCAGCCTGCTCCTCCAAGAGGCAGCATCCGCCCCAAGCGCGGACGGACCAGTGATGAAACAAAGCAAAAACAAAGCGAGGGGCCCAGTCAGCCCACAGAAAGGCAAGTGTGAACGATGAGGACAAGAAAGAGAATTCACAAGAGAAAATCTTTTATCTGAATTCAGACCCTGGACAAACCCTCCTCTTCCCCTCAAAATTCCTTAATCGCAATGCTCTAAAAACTCAAAGAGCACTAATTACCATGAGCCGAACACCCTTTCCTAAAAAGGCTTCCAAAAAACACTAGGCTACTGTAGTGATTCTGTTAGTGCTGCGGACCAGCTTTCTTCAAAGGCCACTGGGGAGAGCTATGATGTGAGAGGCTGGCTGTGTTTCTTCAAACTATCTTCCTTCAAAAGTACCTCTTACGAAAAGGACCCCACAGCAGAATAACCTAATCTCACCCAGCCCCACAAAATATACCAACGAAGACAAAAAAAAAAAAAAAAAATCAGACTTTCCGTTAATAAATAAGGAATTTCAGGTTCCACAACACAAAAACACACATGTTCAAAGTGCAAATTCCTGCCATTAATCTGGGACTTTTCTGTCTCACTGAGAGAGCCCTTTCATGGTCAAAGACCAAGCTGAGGGCAGCCCCCTCCCCGCGGGGAGCCTGCTTCCAAACAAGTGAGCACCAATGAGAACCAAATAGAAGTGTTGGGAGGGGGCTGGGTGCTGGGTGCTGGGGTCAGAGGAGGGAGGTGGTCCCCAGGTATCCCTCTTTTCCAAAACCCAGTGGGGAGTGGAGGGAAGGGGGTGAGGTGTGTGCTGTTTTAACAGCTCACCCTGCTAGGGGGCCCTAAAGTGCCAAGTCAAGCTGCCAGCCTCCAGGGATTAGAATTCTGTGATACTTTGAGGGTACATGTGCCGCAGCGGGTAGAAGCCAGAACTACAGGGCAGCGTAAAGGAGAAGGGGCTTTGAGGACAGTCATACCAGTAAGAGTTAAAAGCTGATCCAGAGCACACTGGAGTTACAGGTTGGAAAAGGGGACTTGCCGTAGGAGTTGGCCTGGCTGGAAGTGAGCGTGAGGACAACCCTCACATTAAAAGCTGTTGCTTCTTTTTTGTCTACCTTTCTGATAAAGGCAACTTCGATTTTATAAAGGGGACAACAGAGGGTAAGAGAGGACGGGGTGTATGTACTGTGATCCACAATGGAAAGAGCAGGCCCTTCAGTTATTTTACTAGATTTTTAAATGCTTTAAATTTTTTTTTTGTCCTTTTTATCTTTTAAATACAAAGTCTGAGCTGTCCCAGTGCCCAGAGTCTTCCTTTCTCTAGGGTCCAGTAGAGTCTGAATCTTCAATCAGAACCTCTGTGGTAGCACCGAGTATGTCTGAGTTCATGACCAGCCCGTCAGTGCCCCCGCTGCTGCCACTGCCCACAAAGATCTTCCCATCGGCCATCAGGCTCACCCGTTCTGTCCCACTACAGTATGACTTTGACATGCCTTCAGCTCCCAGCAGCAGGCACTCTGCAGAAGGGGAGCTTCCCAAGGGCTCAGGAAGAAGAGGAAGGCCCTGGCCGTCCGCGGGTTGTGTCAGGGCTTCCGGATTAGTGCCCAAGATATCCGTGCTGGTGATGAGGGCGCCTGCGTTGGCAGCCAGTGCTTCAGCAATCAGCACCTCAGGATGGCTTTTTGCTTTGTGCGCCACCACGCTGTCCTTCTTCTCAAACTTTTTGCCACAGATATTACAAGAGAACTGGTAGAAGGAGTCTGCATCATGCTTCTTCATATGCCAATTCAGGGATGCCTTTTGTCGACAAGTAAAGCCACAGATCTCGCATCTAAGGAGAGTGGAAAAGGGAATGACTCATCAAGTGAGAAATAGAGAGTGTTGTACTCATGGTCAAGAGGGAGAATTCACAGGTCACTAACATAAGAACAGTCAGTGGCATATATATTTTGGGAAAGATTATTAAGTGGAAGAAAAATCTGATTTTTCTCCTTTCTGTTTGTTTGAAAACCAGAGGAGGAAAAAGGTCCTCAGCAGCTCCTCCAGCGAATACCTACACTTTTATTTGGTAAAAGGAAATAGCAGTGGCCACTGAAATGGCTGTGAAGGGCCACCCTGTTGTGGGTGAAAGGACTGCTCCCGCAGATGTTCACCAGGAATAGAAACTCACTGGAGCGGCTTCTCGCCGGTGTGGATCATGCGGTGCACTGCCAGGTTGTGGGAGCTCTTGAAGGCCCGAGCACAGTATTCACAGATATAATCCCTTTGATCTAAGAAGAAAAGGTCTGTGGTCAGTGTACTTCTCCCTGGCTTATCGTAAGTAAACAGCTGACCACGCAGGTCAATTCAGAGTAAAAACACTTTTCAATGTTTAAACATACTCTGAATAAACACAACTCAAAACCAAGCTTTCATTTTTAAGTCCATATATTTGAAACATGAAGATCTAAAAAAAAAAACTAGTTAAATGTAAGAATTACAATTCCAAATTCACCATAGTAAGATCTTGCATAAACAACTACATTTTTCATGGATTTTATTCCTTAAACACTTTGACACATGTGTAAGCTGAATCTTACACATGAAGTGTCTACATCTAAAGTGGTAATCATAGTTTGTTTCAGATTTTAAAAATGTTACCCAAGGCAAACAACTTAAAGTTCTCGCAAAGACTCCAGCTACCGCTATCAACTCTGTGCAAACAGTACCTGCCGCCCGCCACTTTCCTTCCTCCCCGTATCGTCTGTGCCACCCAGCCACCTCCCTGTATCATTTCACAAGCCTCCCAAATGTCACAGGTGGGTTTTCATTTGTTTGTTTTTAATGAGTTTGCTAACATGGTGAGAAGTCTCTGGGAGAAAAGGAAATTTCTTGGCTGGGGAGAAAATGGACCAGCAGATGCTCAGTATGCCGAGTGAGTGTGCTGTTTCCCTCTGCTTTTCACTTAAATAGACTACAAGTGGGAAATCAACAGGTTAAAAACATATATGACGTAACAGTACAATCCATCCCAAACAGCTCTAAAACCAAGTGTGGGAGAAGAGCCAAGTTTCCCTCAAACTGGAATATATTCAGAGGTCACCTGAGGCTATCAATGCAGACACTGACTCGGCCTGCAGCCTGCAACTCCAGCGAGAGCGCAAGTGACACCAGGGCTTCGGGCCGTCTGCCACAGGGCTAAGCAGCAGCTTCAAAAACGCAGTTCTGAGTAACCCAGGGACCGCGCCATCGTCCTGCCCAGGGTGGTCCACTTTCCAGCTCCCTAGTTAGGTGGCAAACTTGGGGGGGAATCTATTTGCCTGCAAGATATCTGGAGAGAATGGAGACAACATTCTCTCTGAAGAACGTTGCCGTGGGAAGGACTGGAGTCATTAAGGCCCCAGTCAAGCCTCGGTGCTCTCAGTCTCCAGGGGCCACGCCCCATGCAGTGATGGCCTTTACCTTATACCAGCTGCACTGCACGGGCACTGTCCGTGCCAACTGAAAGGAAAGGATAAAAGTTATAAAGTCCTAGTCTCTTCATTTCTTTTGTATTTTACCACATTTCTTTCGCATCTTATACCCGACTGTGGACTCAAGATTTATGTTGCAGAAAAAAAGAACATTACTAACTTACACACTTAAAAACAAGAGGGTGCATTTAGTTTCCTAGTTTACCAAGTACCTGTATGGTGTTTGGCATGTCGCAAAAGCTGCTTCTGGAGTCTGAAGAGTCGCCCACAGGACGGATGGGGACATACATATTTCTTCTTTAGCAAATGTTGATATTTAATGTGGTGCTAAAACAGTAAAGACAGCAAAATGTGATAAAAATCAAGACTTCTGAGTGTTTGTTCCTTTGGGGAGCCAAAAGCACTGAAGGGCAAACCACTTTCTACATGAATCAAGGCAGAGGCCAAAATGGTCAAGCACACGGGCTCTGGACGACTTGGGTTCCAGCCCGAGTCTGTCACTCACGAGCCGGCATGTAACACGGCAGAGAGCAGTCACTCTCATGTTCACAGCCGAGCAAGTCAACAGTAGGCCTCGGTCTCACACGACATTTGCAGTTAAACTGAAGCTCAAATAGGCATTTCTTAAGCTTTAGTAATTAGTATTTCATCAGTATTTTTTTTCAGAACTAAATATAAGCTTTATCTTTCTTTCCTCATTAAAAAACCCCAGCATCAACAGTCTTAGTAACTAAGAAATCATTGACATAGGCAACGACCTCACTCACCTGCAAGTAGCGAGGGTGAGCAAGGACAGTTCCACATCCTTCCATCTCACAACGGACATACTGGATAGGAGGCTTTTTCCTATTACCAATATGTAGCAGAAAAGAAGCAATGTGCATCAGTGACCTTAAAGTGTACCATAGAGGACAGCTATTTTACAGTATGAAGAGTCAAGATCTCTTTAACACAGTGTACAGAATTTATGTGAGAAGTAGCCATAAGCTGTCAAATATTTAAAGTTTTTAACAATAGCATAAATACATGAGTAAGCCCCCAAAGGCAAAGAACTAACTTTAAGATTTCTAGAAGCTTCAAGACCCTGCAATGGATGTAAAAAAACAGTAACTCTGCATCAAGGATTCTGAGGTTTGCTTTTGTGAAATTCTTAAATTTCACTGATCATAAAATTCCTATAGGATCACTATGAGGGCTAATACATGTGACTAAAGGGTCTGCTGCCAGAAATCAGACACAAACCTAGTTTAAGTTACTCACCGCCTTTTGGGTAATCGTGGACTTTTGTCATCTTTTCGCCTTCTTCCTCTCCTACAACGAGAGAACAGAAAGCCTGTCCACATATTCTGGATCGAGACTCACCAACATAGGATGGCTGAAGGTATGGCTCAAGACCGAGAAGCAGATGACAGAAACAAAAGGCAGTCCAGAATATGCAAAGACAATGACCATGTGGCAAAAAATACCTCACTCTCAAAGTAAGCCTGCATCTTGAGTTAAACACGAATTACTTGAGGAGATATGGGGAACTCTCAAGGTCACTTGAAGAACAAGTTTCAATTAAGTCATTCACTTAAATTTTGTCATTTTAGAAACTACTATAAAAATACTGTTTAAAAATCCTAAGAATATGAGCTATATTTTCTTGACAACAGAACCAAAAAACCTGGACCACACACATTCACGCACACATACACACACACAAATACTGCTGGAAATTACTAAGAAAGAATTGTTTTTAAGCCCAATCAAGGTTCCAACATCATTGAACCTATTTGTGCTTTTCCTGAGGACATCTGCCATACTCTTTCTTGCTGTCTATGCTCTCTCTTCCAGTCCTACCATCACTGTCTCATTTGCTCATTTGGATGTTAGAAATATTGCCTTGAATTAAACTTTTTAAGCTGCTTGAAAACAGTTTCCCCAATGAAACAGTTACTAGAGGCAGCAATAGGTAGATATAACCTCCCTCTTCATATTCCCACCCATTTCTTTTATTAGTGGCTTCAAAACCCGCCAGGTCTCCATTTTTAGCGGTGACTGCCTACTCACTTCCTAGGAGGCTCTTCGTCCTCCCTAATTTCATTCTCCTCTTCTTTCACTTCCACCTCGACTTCCACTTTAATCTCTTTCTTCTCTTTCTCTTCTTTCACCTTCCCTGATTTTCTCCGTGGCTTTGGGGTTTCCCTGAAAACACAAAAATATCTCAACATTGTTACCTTTGCAAAGTATCTTTTCAAGGAAAATTGGGATAGTGGGATAAAACATGGCGTTTGTTGATTTATTGTGAAACTGACTCAGCCCGCATATGTGACTTCCACCCCTTACAGGTACTGCAACTATCTATATTTAAAGCCTATGGGCTAGCACCCCTAGGCTAACAATGTCCTAGAATCAAATCAAAGAAACAAAAGTAAAAAATTCTTAAGTACTCATGTACTTCATATTATCTTAAAATAAAGACATGTAAACATCACAGTAATTTGGATACAATCAAAATAAAGTTCCATGCCTTTCTAAATGGGGTCTGTATGTCTCATCTCTGGGGTCATCTTTGAATGGTATTTCTTCTTCACTGATTAACATCTCCTCCTCCTCCTCCTCATCATCATCACTACTAAAAAGAAAACAGATTAGAAATTCCAGTTGTTAACAATTATAGCTGACTGGATTTTATCCAGAAATTCACAATAAATGAAGACTCATTTGAGTTTAATAGGATTTTCATCCCCGTGACTTAGTTGGACCTCGACCTAGCTGCTTTTTTCTTAGAGTAACAAATGGAACTAAAAATACAAAAATCCCAGGTAAGTATCATTTAAAGGGAAGTAACTAAGATGACTGCTCAGTGGAACTAAAAGTCAGAACACACCTGACATTACAAAATCATGTCTAGTGATCTGTTAATCTGCTAGATCAAAGGACCTGTCAACAGATCCTCCCTCCCCTAAAGTCATAACTGATCATCGACGATACCGATAAAATTTCAAACTCTCTGATGAAAAACCCACAGTTCATATTAATATCTAGAATGAAAAAAGCCAGGACACAGAAGGTATACAATACATAAGGTTTCTGAACCACATGGTTAAAGCTCTCATGAGCTACAAAGTGAATTTAAACCGAGTACAAAAATGTAAGCTACTTTCTCTTGGCTACAGATCAACATTCCTTTAAGTAGAAAGCTCCTTCTGGATCACTGAGTGCGCTTGTCCCCTATGTCCCTAGGGATTTAAATATGAACATGCTACTTTTCTTACCTAATGCCACCTGGAGACTGATGTTCTTCTGCAACATCTGGAAGAGTAAAGCCAAAAGAAACTTTATCTACTTAGATAGAGTTATATTCTCTCTATAGTCAAGAGACTCAAACCAAATCATTGCCTGAATTATTTACAAAAGAAGAATGACTGCAAAATTGTCCTATACCGCCACAACTACTACTGCACAAGTTTAAGCTGTTTTGGTAAACATTCAACATCACATTTAAAATCAACAGGTAACTGACATTAAATGACGTATTTGCACCATACCATAATCCAGCTGATCTGTATTTGGTTCTGATTTGCAGATGAGCTGCAACGAACCAGTCTTGGACCTAGAGCTCCGGGTGTTCTCCGGGTCGCGGTGCCGAGAGACAGACGTCCTGCTGCTGCTGCGCCAGCCTCTGCTGGACCGCGTGGAAGCGATGGAGACGTCCTGAGGGAGGGGAGAGTCATCTTCCTCTTTCTCTTCCTTGGGATCTAAATGAGAAATGCCATTTTCTTTTTTAAGTTTATAGTTAATCAACCTATGTATAGTCCTGCTGTGATAGTCAATGAAAACATAAACAGTTTTAAGGAAAATGAGGCACGATGCTTATGGTTAACACTAAAAATTTTATGTAACAAGAAAGTAATAATTTTTCCCTTATGTACTAGACAATAGAATGCTGGAAGAAGTACATTAAGTCCCAATTTAACATAATACAGGTTCTTGGAAACAGCAACTTTAAGCAAAACAATATAAAGTGAAACCAATTTTACCAGCTGCTAACGGATATGAGTTAAATTCCTATAGCATATTTCTTTTCTGGTCACAAAAACATCACCAACTTCTACATAAAAACCCATAGCACATCTAAGATGAAACAAAATTTGTACTGACTCACTCATTTTCCAATCCTTTCATTCCTACTCAGGGCTGCTGGTAGCTGAGTCCCACCAGGAGCTCACAGAACAAGGTGGGAACCAACCCCTGACAGGCTGCTTTTCCACAGCAGGGCACCCACCCACCCACCCATACCCACACCTACTCAGACCGGGGTGCTTTGTATGCACCAGCCTATCTAATGTGCACATCTGTGGAGCAGCCAGAGAAACCACACAGACATGCGGAGCATGTGCATCCCACACAGCGGCCCGCCTGGGGCTCATCTCCCCCACCAGCATCATTATAAGGGAAAAATATTTTTGTGGGCCAGCTATATGCAAAAAATACCTAAATAACTCAAGACAAGGAATCTTAACTTTTAAAGGGCCTCCCTGGTGGCACAAGGGGTTAAGTCTGCAGCAAATTCAATCCCCCTGTGGGGAAAGGAGCTGACTCAAGGGCTCAGCTGACTTGACCTCTCCTGCCTCACCTGCTGCGCCCCTCAGCAGTATATTTCAGTAGATCTACCTGTTCTGCTTCCCACTCTGTCAGTGGTGAATGCTCTTACCTCCTGCAACTTTGGCTTCTACCCCAGTTCTTTTATGCATTATTAAAAAATCTTTACTATAGACCTAAGCCAAAAGAAAATAAATGGAATGGCCCCAGAAATATGACTGGAACTCCTGAGACATACAAGTTACATTTAGATCACAGATATAAAAATGATCTAAATGGTCTAAAAACCAAGCAAACAAGGAATAGCTGAAGAGGAATTCCAATAACAGGAATGCCTTCCCTTGACTATATTCAATAATTTTATTTGGAACTACAACATGAATCTGACTTAACTTATAGAGTAAATCACTAAAGTCCAGCTTCAGTGTTGTTCTGTTTTCTCAGGCTAGAAAAGGCCATTTTAAAAACAGCACAACATCTCAGGTGTTAAGACTGATATTTCGTACTGCATAAATTTAAAAACAAAATTCTGCCTTGAATTCTATTATTAAAAAGTCTCACACTTCACCACAGAAATGGCAGTTCAGTTAAAAAAAAAAGGCTTTCAATACAGGAATAATAACATCAAAGTTCAAGCTACTCACAAAAGAAACTTACATGACAATAGTATGATACCATTGCTTCCCTACAGTAATACAATCACCCCAATGATGAACAATGCAGTTAATGACAAAGTTAGAGGAAAATGTGTACCGACAAAACAGCTATGAAAAACACTTTAGCAGTATCTTTCAAAATTACAAATGTACATTATCTTTCCATGTTAATTTCAATTATTAGGAATTTATTCTACAAAACAACCACACTTATAAAATGGCAGAGTCAGTTAATATAGCACTGGTTTTTAAAAATTACTTCATTTATTTATGCACACAGCTGGGATACAAGCCAGAAGTGCAGGGAGGTGAGAGGATCCACCTGGAGAGAAGTGGGGAGCAGAACAGGTGGGGCTGACTGAGGGGAGTAGCAGGTGAGACAGGAGAGGTTTGCTGTGCCATGTGGGCTAGCTCTCTGGCTAGGGAATGAACTCATACTGTAGGGGGGCTGCTGATAGCTTCACAGTACTGAGACTTAACCTTATGTGCCACCAGGGAGGCACTACAGCAGTGACTTTGGATAGAAAAAAGAGGAATAAAGCTTTGAGGGCATTGTTTACATGAATTATAATTTGGCCAATGGGAAATCACATGGAATCAACTGCAAAACAAAAAATAACCAAAACTCTCACAGGCGTGTGTATATATACATACATTAAATACCTTTATATATACAAACCCATTATATATGTGTATATATATCTAAAAACATGTCTATATAAAGAAATAAATAGGTATAGCATGTACTGCATTATGTGATACATCTATCTTACATAAGATAAAAGTACTTCTGGAAGGATATATAAGAAATAATTATTAGTCGCCTCCAGGGAAGGTCCAAAAATACATTCATCCACTTCACCTCTTGGAGGGAGGTGAAGTGAACTGGCACATGGAGGTTTACTGTAGCATATCTATGATAGTTAAAAATGTAAATTTAATCATCTGTCAGTGACAAACTATTCAAATAAATCATGGTATATTACACCAAGATAGAATGCTAGGTATCTGTAAGGAATGACACAAAAAGTTTTAAAATATTTTGCTGGTACACACATTTCCCTCTATCCATTATTAAATGGGAAAAAATTCTACATATACATGAAGAATGGTCAACAATTTCACTTGGCTCCTTTTTAAAGATCTGAAAATTAGTTTTCTCCACTGCAGAGCAGATGCTGAAATGGAGACTGCTTTAGTGTTAACTACATTGTCTGAAAGTATGAGAAAATTCCAAGGAAATGGGGGAAAGAAACTGAAATATTGAGAAAAAATAGCAGGATGTTCTAAAAACCTGACATAATCATTAAATCAGAAATGCATTTCCTTCTCAGTGTTAGCTGAGCTACTTTAAATATCAAATACTAATAAAAAATGATTAGGCTTGAAAGTACTTTAAGATTACCTAGTCTCAGTACAACCTAAAGAATCAGAAGGCCAAGGAAGACATTTATTCAAAATCACAAAGCTAGCTAACTCGACCTAGTTCTAACAATCATGTCTTGAGACCAGTAATCAAGTAGTTTTATTATCTAGGTCATCACTGCTTTTAGGAGAACTTCTTCAAAGAGAGCAATTCAACACCTCACCATAAAATATCACAATATTAAAATAGTGGAGAAGAAATTTTTTACTCAGAACTATACTAATTTGGACCCCACTCCATAGCATCCTGTACTCAGAAAAGGTCTTCTCATGATGAAAGCACTAAGCCCTTCTTCTCACACTGTGGGTCTTATGCACTACACACATGCTTGCAATTTGGTGAGAATTACTTTTCCTTATAAATATAATAGCTTATCTTAATGAATATCACACCCATCTTTCAGTGCTCTAGTCTATGGGGGAAAAAAAGCACTGCCAGAGACTGATGTCAATATAAGTGCTACTATGAGACATATACACATTGCCACAATCAACTTTGCAAAAACTCTGGAAAAGCCAATTTATAACAACCTTGACTACTGAGATAACAACAAAAAAAGCTAAATCTAGCAAGTCATTTATCATACAGCACAGTATGTTGTAGCCTTTCAGATCACAGAAATAATGCTTTCAAGAGGTAGGAAATAGTCACTTGAGCAAAGTACAAATAGTTCAAATGTAATATACAAGCTACTGAGTCAGAAAGAACCTATGATTTAAAAAGACATTAGCAATATTGTATCAATTGCATGAGTCCATATGGAATCATCAGTTATTTCTAAATAGTCATAACAGTTACAAAAAGTTGACATTTGTGAACTTTTCTTAAAACTGGTAAGAACAGATACTACACTTGATCTTAGCCAAAAAGGATGTGAGGCCATTTTAAAATAGAGTTGGGGAGACACAAGGAGAAATTGTATTACCAATCTCCTCTGAACTGGGCCAAGACATTTGGACCAAGTCAAGAGCAATTATTTTAAGAAATAATCAACCAAATGTTTGGTGATAGGATGATTAGCCTCAGTCAGTTCCCTTTTTATCCTTCCTAGAGAATCAATCATCAATTATGTATATAGCCAAGAATAGTTTTGGCCTGCTAACATGCAACAACTCTTAACAACTTACCCGTTTTCCCCTTTCTTACTTTTTTTTTTACATCTAACGTGCCATTAGTTGACAGGGAATAGACTCCTGCAACTCAGGTTCATCCCCATGGGCTCTCACAAAGTGTTACTTCTCTGTGGAAGCAGGTTGGCACCTCTGTGGAACCCAAGGACTTTTCTTATTGGCTTTTTTCTTGGATCATTTTCCCTCAAGTTTCAGGAAGCTACTTGGACTCTTACAGTTCTTAATATGCACAATCTGAACATTTATTCTCCTGGTGAGAATCTTGCCAACTGCATGTTTGTTTACAACAATGCCAACTGTATGCTGGGTCATAGTGTTGTCATGGTTAACATCTGTGGGGTATTACTTTTGAACAAAGCTCATCTCCTGGATACCTACAATAGCACCTTGTAGATTAGCATGTATGTGGCCAAAGGAACACCTCCACACCCCTCTTCCTCTTTGCATTAGTCTTTTGTCAGCTTGCTGGTAGATGGTGGCCCCGGCTCTTTTTCACTCTTCCTACCACAAAACCCCAGCTTTGGTTTGTTAGGTTTCCAGTGAATATGGAATCCAAAGATTTGCAGGGTCCAGTGTATTCCTGATATGTGCTATTTTAAGCAATTTCCAAACCTCTGGCTTATTCTGACTGGAACATGCAGACAGCTTTCTAGATGAAGAGCAGTCCACATGGAAGGCGCAAAAAGGGGAAAGATTAAGGCTTGAACGCTCAGTTTACCACTTTCAGAGAACCACCATCTCTACTGTGCAGCTTTCCGTAGCATGATTAGGAGGAGGGATGGACTAAATAAATCTCTCTACTTATATCCTACTGGGTCTATCTCTCTAAAGAGCCCTGACTAACATGGACTCTGGGACTGAAAGTGGTTCTACAAGAACAGAATCTTAAAGTTCGGTTTCCTAAATTGGTTCTCTAATCTGATTAATTTCAAAGTAGTAACTGT